GATCGAATTCAAGATCCTCATCCTCACCTACAAGGCCATTCACGGCCTTGCTCCCTCCTACCTCTCCGACCTACTATCCCCTACCTACCTGCCCGTACCCTCCGTTCCTCTGGCTCCGGTCTGCTCCACGTCCCCCGCCCCAATCGCCCTACCATCGGTGGTCGGGCCTTCAGCCTCTCAGCCCCAGGCTCTGGAACTCCATCCCCCAGTGCCTTCGCCGCTTCCTCCCTTTCCTCCTTCAAGGTCGTCTCAAAACCTTTCTCTTTGACCGTGCCTTCAGCTCCCCTCTCGACTCTCTTCCCCCTCCTCGCTCCCTCCCTTCCCTCCCCTCACCCTGACCATTTCCCCCCTCCTCGCTCCCTCCTTCCCTCCCCTCACCCTGACCATTTCCCCCCTCCTCGCTCCCTCCCTTCCCTCCCCTCACCCTGACCATTTCCCCCCTCCTCCCTCCCTCCCCCCCCCTCCCCCCCCCCCCCCCCACCCCTTCCCCCCCCCCCCCCCCCTCGCTCCGGTCATGACCCAACTGTGCAGCACCTTGGGACGTCCTCCTGACGTGAAAGGCGCTTTATAAATGGAATCTTGTTGTTGTTGTTATTGTTGTATGTTTATGAAAGGGAAATACAAAAATATTGCTTTTGCAGCCCGTGGACCTTTCTTATTTAAGGCATCCGGCCCTCAGAAGCCGAAAGGTTGGACCCTGCTCTAAGCTAACAGTCTAACAGAGGGAGTGCTGCAATGTCATAGGTGCTGTCCTTTGGATGAGACTTTGAAGCAAGGTCTCATCTACCTGTTCTTGTGGCGGATGCAAAAAGATCCCATGCACAATTTGAAAAGATCTAGTATTCTCCAGTTTCAACTCGTGGCTGTCCACTAACAACTTCTCTTCTAGCCCCCGCACTTTCACGTGTTATGTCCCTCAGGGCTCTGTCCTCAGTCCCCACCTCTTCAATCTATACATGCTCCCGCTCGGTGATGTCAACTGCACATGTATGCGGATGACATCCAAATCTATTTCACCGCTTCCACTCTTGACTCTAGGACCCCTGCTGTACTGGCTAATTGCCTGTCAGACATCAAGTCCTGGACGAGAGCCAACTTCCTCCATCTGAATGTTGGCAAGACAGAGGCCCTCCTGCTTGGCTCCCATCAGCACCCCCTCACCTCAGGCACTGACTGTTCACTATTCATGGTTGCACTCTACATCTCACCAAGCCAATACGGAACCTCCGTGTCCTGTTCGACCCTCAGCTATCCTTCAAACCCCACATTTGTGCCATGACCTTTTCCGCCTTTCCCCACCTCCGCCACATTGCCTGCCTCTGACCACAGGCCAGTGAGACCCTTATCCACTCTTTCATCATGTCCCAGCTTGACTACGCCAACTGCCTGCTCGCTGGACTTCCCAATCCTTCCCTCCACAAGCTGCAGATTATTCAAAACTCTGCAGTTCATGTCCACTCCCTCACCAGGCTCTGCAAAAAGATAACCCCCACCCTTGCCTGGCTTCACTGGCTCCCCATTCCTTAGACAATCGAGTACAAAACCAATCTCACACCCCTAATTCTCCGACCTTCTAACCCCATATCAGCCTGTCAGCTCCCTCCGCTTGGCTGACACTGGCCTGCTCAAGGACCCCTCACTTCTCACCCCACCATTGGCGGTTGGGCATTCAGCATCTCTGCCCCCACACTCTGGAACTCTATCATGCAATCCCTCCACTTACCCACTTTCTTGCCTCCTTCAAGTCCCATCTAAAGACCTTCCTCTTCGATCATACTTTCAGCCACCCTATCATCCCCACACCCCCTGCGCTCCACCCCTCCTGACCCCAACTCCCAGCTTGGGTCCCAATCCCCTGATTGTCTAATGCCCTGGGATGTCTTTCCAACGTGAAGGGCACCGTACAACTCTAATTCATTGTTGTTGATGGGATTTTGCTGTAAGCAAAATGGCCACAATACTTACCTACAAAAAAGGCACTTGAGTTGGGTAATTATTAGGAAGTGCTTCGATACATTTCAAAATTTATAGGTACAAGTTCTTTCTATTTAAACATACAGGACTTAACCTCAGCTTCCAGAGCTGAAAGCTTTAAACTGACCATCCGAGATTCAGCACTTTCCTTCGTTTTTGTTCTAGCAAATCACGATACATCAAGTGCAATATCTAATGGGATTGAGCAGATGAAACAATCTGCCTGTCCCCACAAAACAGAGTTTAACCATTTATGCCCAGGAGATTCTTAAACACAAGAGTCATGAAACCAGGAAGAGAATAGGCGGCGGGGAGGGAAACAATGTAACGTAAGAACATAAGAAACGATCGGCAAAAACAGACCAAGGTCCATCTAGTTCACCTTCCACCTTCCTGGTGGTCGCTGCACTTATGTACCGAACTACCTATGTACTATATCTGCGTTTGAAGGAATCAATATTGGCTGCTTAATCTGTCTCCCTAGGGAGCCTGTTCCACAGGTTTATTGTTTGTATGTTTTAAACTACAGTAAATCCTCTCTTTATATTTCAGCAAACAACTCTAGCATATTTGGTTGTCTGTACCAGGCTCTACCTGGTACAGTCTTTTTACAACAGGGGTTTTAATATAATTGCGTATCTTACTGAATCTATCTATGTGAAACAATCTTGATCAGCATTATACAGTCTTTTTATAGAAAGATTTAAATGCCAATCCTCCAAGGAAATCACCACCAGTGTTTCCCCCTCCGCATTGAACACAGTAACATTAGATTACTCGGCACATTTACAAGCTGGTCCAGTTCACAAAATAGCCAACTTCGAAAGAAGAACCGACATTTTACAGCATATCATCATTTCAAGATGTCTCAACGTGCTTTTGCCCTTTACAAATGTAGTTTTGTTGTTTACTGTCAAGTGTAGGGACTGAACAAGTGCCTGATCTAATAAAACACACGTCAGATTCAGTGAAGTGAGCGAAACATTCGCTTAAGCAAGAATCCTTACCCAGCATTTACATTATGATATTTTTTAAATAATTGAACTGTAATGCACCAAAAATGCAAAGGAAATCATTTGCCACCATTTCAAAAATGTGGATATTCTGAGTACAGCATACGTATTAAGTACTTAGAGGGTTTAACTCTTTAACTGCACCCAGTTTAGACTCCTATTGCCATCTGCTTGCATTTCTTTGGCCCCATCTGTGATTTCTTTTTACAAAGGCATGATTTCACTAGTTATTTTACAGCTGGCTGAAATACCCATTCAGATAAAGTACTGAAAGCAAATACTGCAGCTTAAATCATTCAGAAACACTGATGATAAGAGATAAAACTATTACTCTCTTCCCCTGCTTTCAATTTTCTTCACTCCTCTCCTGAACTCATGCCAAAGCAGAGTCCTCTGGGAATATTCTTCATGTACAAGACTATCTATGAGCTTTGGCAGGCTATCCTATGGCATGTGCACACACGCGCGTATGATGTGTCCACATGTGGGGTGTGCATTCAACAACAACTTGCATTTATATAGCACCTCTCACACAGGGTAGCGTACCAGAGCACATTCGTGCAAATTGACTTCTTGCCCGTAAAGCCAGTTATTTCACTTGGGGAACTGATCAAGAGCAGAAACCCCGGATTTGAACGTGGTGTCTTTACACCCTGTGTATCACACTGTGTATCAGTTTCACACTGGACAGTACACTTTCCAACCAAGTTACCAAGCAAATTGATAACAAGATGAAAAACTTTAAACTGTGTTATTTCTGCAGAACAATTCCAGTCAACAAAATAATTATTCTATGTGTCGTAAAACACTCATTTTAGATTATTTGTTCTTATCTATCAAATGAATACTGTACACACACATTACTGCATTCAGTACACAGCACACATTTTCCTTTCACATTTAAAGTACCATTCACATACAGTACTGCAACAATTTACAGAATAGGTTGAAAAATAAGGAGATAAGCAAGATTTCTTCTCCCCCATTTAAAAGTTCTTAAAATACACATTATGGAAAGATGAACTTCACACTGAAATATCTCAAGGTGCATCATAAGTTGCTACAAGGTAATTAACAACAGTCAATAGACAACCAAGATAGCAACATCCCACAAACAGCATTGAGATGAATGACTGAATCAAACCTGTTTTTTTTTGTGTGAATTTGGATAAGAGAGGAATATTGGCCAGTACCTCAGATTCCATCAAAATAGTGCAATAGGATCTTTAATATTTACCCCAATTGGCAGACAAGTCCACAGTTTAATATCTCATCCTCAGTACAGCTCTGCGTCGCCTCATTGCCGCACTGTAGTGTAAACCTGGATTTTAAGATCCAGTCGTAGTGTGGGATTTAAACCCACAACCTCCTAATCCAGAATTAAGTGTGCGACCCACCGAGCCAGGCTGACATAAATAGAGAAACGTAATAAATAATTGCTTGATAACAATGTACAGTATTTTTGTTCTGCTGTAGTCATCATAGAGTTAACTATTGTGGGAGGGGGAGGGGTGGGGGGAGGAAGAAGAGGCATTTTATCCTGCTGCTCCACACCACCTTGTAGTATTCAGATAGGTAAAGAGATTGCTCCCTTTTTTTCAGCTCTGGACTGAGCTTGTCATACAACCAGAGATACGGTGCTCCATTAATTACAGCATTGCAGCTATAATCAGCTCAGAAAAAGTTATCCTCAGCAGCTTTACCAGCCTGGGTGAGCAGTGACAGGCTGCTTATCACAAGGTTACAGCAGCACACAGTACAGTATTACCTGGAACAGAACTAGTTCAGCTTCCATTATACTATACAGGACTGTCTGCACTCCCACAGCACTGAAGAGCCCTGAGTGACACCCTTCCCTCTTGTTTTTTCCTGCAGTCCTGATACCACTGAACAGCTGAATTGATTATCAATCACTTAACCAAAAATTACAGCAATCCAGTGCATTGGGCACAGAGAAGCAGATCGTTCGCTCTCTTGCGACCTGAACCAACAGATACAATTAAAGCAACTTACTTGCAAGGTTTACTGCATGTCCCACTTCACTCCTGCCTGCCTGCACACCGTTTATCTGCTGAAGGCCTTTCCATTCAGATCTCCTGCAAACTGCAGCTCAGCTCAGCTTGGCTGGGCACCAGACATGCTCAGTAATGTGACCTTCTCCTAGTGGAAACTACCAAGAGCTCATGAGAAAGAAGGGGGAATTGGAGCAAACCACATCCAGGATTAATAAACAAAAGCACCTGCCTGCTGAAATGCAGGTGAAGACTGAGCTGGGCACTGTGAACAGCACCAGGTCCCTTGTATAAACCCAGTGATGGGGAGGTCAGATGCAAACGATGAGGGTCAGGTTTCATTGGGTGCTTTTCAACAGTGAAAATATGTTGCATTGAACAATAGGATGTGACAGTGTAAACACTGCTCATGGTGTAGCTGTGGTTTGATACACTGTGTGGCTCTTTAAACGAGCTCGTCCACTAACTCTAATGTGTTCAATGAAACATCGCATTTCAGCTTACACATTGCTCCTCGTCCCTGCTGTCTATTTTTTAATGATCATTTACAAAGTTAGACTATCTCTCTTTCCCTTCACCCCAAAAAAATCCTCACCAGGCTTGGTCAGATACAGTGCATTTTATCTTACAAGGACATCTCAAAGGCAAACACACATCAATATCCCACAAACAGTACCAATTTTGGATCAAACATGTAGTGAGTCAGTTTTAAAGAAGTTTAGAAACCACTATTTACTAATAGTCTGTCAAAGGCTTATGAAAATGATTTATGATGTTCTGCTGGTCTTGGGCATGAGCCAAATGGAATTTCACCCCCACTTTTCTTTTGCATTCAGAAGACTGGTAAACACAATCTTGTCAACCAGTTCATCACATTTCCTTTTAAAAAAGAAAAATGGTTTTCAATTGATTTTTTTCAAAGAAACAAAGGGTTTTATTACTTACTGCTATGATGGGGAAGAGAGAAGTGATCATTACAAAGGGCATAGTAAACTGATGGTCACTGAGTTTAGGCACATAATAATAACAACAAATTACATTTGTATAGTGCCTTTCATGTAAGGAGGACGTTCCAAGGCACTGGACGGTCAGGGATCTACACCAGAGCTGGTGGTTGGGATCAGGATGGGTGGAGGCAAGGAGAGCATGGGTAAGAGGGTGACCAAAGGCACAGTCGAAGAGGAGGGTCTTGAGATTGGTCTTGAAGGAGTCAAGGGAGGGGACGAGGCAAAGAGACTGTGGGATGGAATTCCAGAGGGTGGAGGCTGAAGCCCTGCCCATCAATGGTGGGGCAGGCAAGGTAGGTCAGAGTCCGCTGAACGGAGGGAGTGGACAAGTTGGTTGGGGGTTAAGGGGTCACAGAGGTAGAGAGGAGCAAGGCCATGAAGGCCTTTGAAGGTGAGGACCAGGATCTTGAACTGTATCCTTCGACTGATGGCGAGCCAGTGAAGCCGAGCCAGGATGGGGACGATAGGGTTGCAGAGTCTGGTGCAGGAGAGGGCATGGGTTGCAGAGTTCTGAATGATCTGCAGCATGTGGAGGGAGGAGTTGGGGAGGCCGACAAGCAGGGAGTTTGCATAGTTGAACCTGAATGTGATGAATGGGTGGACAAGGGTCTCAGCGGCTTTCAGTGTGAGACAGTAGCGGAGCCAGGCAAAGTTGTGGAGGTGGGGGAAGGTAGAGCGTGTCATGGTATGGATGTGGGGGATGGATGAAGGACAGTTGAGGGTCAAACAGGACGCCGAGATTCCGTATTAACTCTGTGAGGTATAGAAAGTATCCATGAAGGGTGATGCTGTCAGTACCTGAGGTATGGAGACACTGACAGGAGCCAAGCAGGAGGGCCTCAGTCTTGTTGACAACTGGAGGAAGTTTGCTCTCATCTGAGACTTGATGTCCAACAGGCAGTCTGTGATGAGAGCTGTGATCTTGGAGTCGAGGGTGGAGGCGGAAAGATAGAGTTGGGTGTCATTTGCATTCATGTGAAAGTTGTCTACAGATGATGTCACCAAGAGGGAGCATGTAAATGTTGAAAAGGAGGGGACCAAGGACAGAGCCTTGAAGGACGCCACATGTGACGATGCAGGGGCTGGAAGAGAAGCTGTTAATGGAAACAAAATAGAGATGGTGGGAGAGGTAGGATTTGAACCAGGCAAGGGCCAGTCCATGAGGGTTGAGCTGAGAGAAGAGGCAGTGGAGGAGGATAAATGGTCGACAGAGTCGAAAGAGAGCAAGGAAGCAGAGGCAGAATGTTATTAGTGACTTTGACCAGGGTTGTTTCGATGCTGTGGGCAGGATGGAAACCCGATTGGAGGGGTTCATAGAGAGAATGATCCTTGCAATTCGCATTAGCGCCTAACACATCAGACAGACGTCTCAAAGCACAATATTTACTGTGAAATATAATAGATGAATATGGCAGCACAATTGCACACTGCAATGTTTCACAAACAGCATGAAATGAATGACCAATTTTATTTGAGGGATTGTTGGCCAGGACAATGGGAAAAACTCCCTTCTTTTTTTGAATAGTACCATCCACCTGATATTCATGTTCTTAATATCCACCTGAACAGACAACCGGGACCAATGTTTAACATCTCAACCAAAAGACACTTCTGACAACCTCTGAGCCCCAGCAATGCATTGGAGTGTCAGCTTCGACTGTGATTTCAAAGTCCCGACATGGGATTTGAACCCACAACCTTTTGACTCAGAGGCGAGAGTGCTACCACTGAGCCAAGCCAAATGAGTCATTTGTTGAGAGAAGATAATAAACAGGAAAATAATTGTGCAAAGATGTTTCACTAGCTTTGAGATTGCAGGCACATTTTATGCAAAACTAATTTCTGGCTCAGCCAATTCACACGACATGAGTTGCGAATAGGATTCATTATCTTGCCAGTAAAACCACCTCCGTTACTTTGGTTGAACTTCCAGACTAGTTCTCTTGGACTCAGCTCTACTTCCCTATATCTCTCCACATCAGGAAGATTAGAAAATATTATTTATATTGAAATTAATCTACAGTTTTGTATATATATTAAACTCATCGTCTAGTCTGACATTCCAATCAGTGCTGGGGTAGTGCTGCATTATAATAATAATCAGAAATGTAATATCTCATCATAAAATCATTAATATCTGATCATAGGTGTCGTCCTTTAGCTGAGACATTAAGCTGAAGTCCTCTCTTTATGTTTGTTCCTACTTGTTCAGGAAACCAATCCTACCATCTTCCCACTGCATGTCCCACTGGTTCTGAAATAAATGCAATGTCCTGGCCTCAACCACTGTTCCTGGTAAATCATTCCAGTTGTTGATTAACCTCTATGTAAAGAACTAGTGGCTCATCCTAAAATTGGCCTCTTTTTGGTCTTGCTTTGCCTACCTGAAAATGTTGATCCAGGTTTCCTTTGTCTATCCATTTAGCATATATATAAAATCTCAGTTGATAAAAATAAAGGTATGCTTAAAGAAACTGAATGGAACTAAAAATAATGATCCAGCTGTTTTTTCCTGCTATGAATTTAATTCCAGATTTACACAGACGATGACGTAAATCCAGCACTCACCTGACAATGTAATAAGAGTACATTGATCTCTCTGCAATCTGTGCTTGTGCTACACTTCCTATTAGATCTCACAAAAGATGAATGTGTTACTCACATTATTATAATAATAATGAAGGTTACCAGTGCTTTGTGGCATCTCAGTACACCATATCACTTATGGACCACAAGTGATATGGTGTACTGAGATGCCACAAAGCACTTTCAAGCAATGTAGGTTTTGTTGTCTCATTGCAGGAAGCTAGTATTCCTTGAGTCTGTTTAATTGCTGCCCAAAGAGAGGAAAGGGAAAACTGTTCAAGAGTGTGATTTCCCCCATTTCCCTTGGCTGCTCTTGCATACCTCCTGGTGGTTGTGATAAAGCACCACATGTCAAGCCTGGTTGTACCTTATCAGCATTACTTGTCTACCCACATACCCAGATTAGTTCTAAGAATGAGTCTACTAAACCTCCAGAGAAACTCAACTCACACTTTGTGTACTTCAGCCACAATACAGTAATAGAACTGCCATAACTGCCGTGAAGTTCCTGTAGCTCAGTGGTTACAACAACAAAATTACATTTCTATAGCGCCTTTCATGTCAGGAGGATGTCCCAAGGCGCTGGACAGTGAGTGTTTTGGACCTGAGCTGGGGGTTGGGATTGTGGAGGGTGGAGAGCAGGGTGGGTAAGGAGGGTGAAAAGAGGAGGGTCTTGATAAGCACCAATTGTGATAAGGCACTATGTCAAAATGCAAGGAGCATTATTATTATTTCTATTATTGTTATCAAAGCCTTCTTCTCCTGCAATTGGCTGCCATATTTCTCTCACAAATCACACAGTCACTAAAATTTAATAATAATAAAAATCCTTGCATTTGATATAGCACCTCATCACGTCTTCAAGACATCTCAAAGCACTTCACAGAATATATTGTAAAGTGAATTGACTGTATTTTGTGGGCAAAACACTGGCTCGACGTGTAACAAAGCTTCATTGATCTCATGAAAGTGTCTAATGTTGTTGGAGTTTTGCCTACTGTTCAGAGCTACCATGTGGAAGATTGATAGTATAAAAGGGATGGTCGGGGTTTGATGATGCACAATGTAACATAAAGAGCCACAGCTGGAGCACATGAATTCTGACTGGAACAACATATGCCCACAAGCTAATGAAATGCTGGTTCCCAGGTGAGGTGGGTCACTCTGTGTTCCAGCTTTGGGAAACTCTCTCCCTCCCTCGTGAGTTTGTTGAGCTCTACCAACTACCCTGTCGTGTCAAAATAATCTTTGGTGAAACTGAGTAAAACTCGGATAAAAAGTCGGTCCTCTTTAAGACAGGTGAGTGGTTAGCTTGACTGACATATCCATCGAACAATCAGAGGTGAGGACACTCCAATGAGTGCCCGCCAAACCAGAAATGGGCAGGCAGTGGTGATGACTTGGGATAGGATGTTTTTTTGGAGGATTATGATGTCCTCTATATTCAGTGTTTAGCATTGCACATGAAAAGAATAACTAGAGCGATCTCAATCATAGAGCTGCACTGTT